AATTCCATAGACTTTATTTGATGACTTTTCATCAACTGGTCCACATAATCCCAAATCTGTAATATAACAATTACCTCTTTGCAATAATATATTACCACTATGTAAATCACAATGGATTAAATCTTTTTCATGTATACGATATAATGCGCTACATAAGCATCCAAAGATTGTAATTCTGTTTTTAATGTTAAATTTAAATGGTTTTTTTGCAAGTGATCCCTTAAATTTCCTTCTAAATAATTTAAAATTATTGCATAATTTCCATTATCTGGGAATTTAGTTATACCATAGCACTTAACAATCATCACCGATTTAATTTTACAATAATTTATTGCCTGTAATTAAATATAAGATCAATTAGTATTATATATATTTATATTAATTGTTTTCCAAGTAAAATGAATTGTTTAGGACGCTTATCAAATAAGATACTTCAATGTTAATGATGACTATGAATGAAAAATTGTCACTTAAAATCCTGTCATGATTTTGCGTTTAAATCATCCAATCAAAGTAATATTCATTGAAGTGTTTATTTCTAAAAAGTGATACAATACAATGAAGGATACGGACACTATATGATATAGAAAATCAACAAAGGAACAATATCCTGGATTTCTTATACAATACGATATGCATGCAAAAAAAGAATGACCTTCCTTAAAAATAAGGATATTCGCCCTCACCTGGATTCGAACCAGGATCCTTTCGGTTAACAGCCGAACGCGCTAGCCGGTTGCGCCATGAAGGCAATAATTCTATCAGATCTTCCTGCAGAGTTTTTTACTATAAAATTGATAATCAATTGATGATGATGATGGTGGATGGTGATGATCACACAAAAAAATTTTTTTTTAAATTTTTTTCCTTCTCACCGTAAAGTAAGTTCTTATTTAAAATTTTATTAGAATACTTCCCAATGATTATAACAAAAATTAATTAACCGGAATAAAAAGTCGTGTTGGACAATTATTATTATCACCAAGATCTATGAGAGAAAACCTTACTATTATTATTATTATTACGTGTATGTATTGAGTTCACTAACAAAATATCACCATTATTTATATATCATAACTTTTAATAAACAAGTAGAAGTACATGGATATTGTTCTTGATGGAGGTTTAGAAAAGATGTGGAATGAAGATTTTCAATTAACTAAAAATATTCAGGTACATATCATCATTATCATCTAATATGCTATTATACGTTTATTTGCAATGATGATTACCTCTACTTATGAAGAGATAAGCAAAAGGAGTACTTAACTACACGTTAAGTATGAACCCACCTATTGCGCTCTTTAATATGGTGAAAAAAAATAACTGAGCGAAATATTTTAAAAAGGATTATCATCAATTTAATTAATTAATTAATTACATAAAACTAATTTTTTTTTCTTTTATTTTTCTTTTTATTTTAAGGAATTAATTTTAATGATGAAGTCTTTGGTTTGTGATTATGATTAAAATTAAAAATTGTTTATAGCGAATATATTTTTTAAATGCATATATTCAAATTATAAATAACTAAATAAATTCTCCAACTTCTCCAACAAAATAATCTCCATAATGTTTTTGGTTTAATAACGTGACCAATAAGAGTTCCGAGAAAGTAAGTCATGTTCTTCTTGAACATGTTGTATTTTATTACCTGTGGCTAATGAAGCTAAAGGTGATTTTTTTGCCGTAATCAATTGAATTTTTTTTTGTTTTTATGATTAGAAAACAATAAAAGTTTTGTTTGACGGCACACCATATTGTATTTCGTTCTCCTGATCACGAATCACAGCATGTCTTTGTGAAAAAGTGACATACTCGTACGTTCTACGACTTGGCCTGACAAAATATACATGTCTACTCTCAACCAAAAATATCCAAATACAAAGTGCCTCGGCTATTGGCCAATCTGTCTTTTTTTTCTTTGTTGGTTTCTTTAGATTGAGTATTAATTATTCTAATTGTACATTGAACGTTTTGGGTAATCACCAGATCCTTCATCAGATAATTACAACGATCTGCTTTGATTATATAATGAAAGTAATTTTGGTAAAAATTTTCAATTTAATATCGTAAAATAGACTATTAAATTTAGAATCAATCGAATCATGATACTAACAATAATAATAAAAAGAAATAGAAATCGATGGAAGGCATATTTTTGCATGGTATTGATGATAACATTGATAATTTTAACGATAATAATGTTGATAATCTGGAAGAAGATAATGATTAATTTTCATTATTATGAACCGGCCTCTTCTCGGAACCAGTGGTTTCTCTTGGAACTTTCAAGCTTCCAATGTTTAAAAAAAAAATAATTCATGATCATTACAAGCTGGTGAACTTGATAAAAAAACAATACCAGAATACACAGTGAAATCTCGATTTAACGGATAAATTTTCTGAAAAAAAATATCCGTTAAATCGAGAGATCCGCTAAATCGAAACTTATGATCAAATCATGCGATACAAATTAAATGTGTACAAAAAAAAACATAATAATAATAATAATAATATTGTATGTATATTGCAATGTGCAAGAAGAATAATTATCGTAGAAGTTTACAAATGTTATAATTTGAATTAGAAATTTACTTGCCTCTTCTTTTTTACAAACTAAAACTATCCTTTTATTATTACATTTCATATAATCAAATTGTCTTTACATACATATAAGTTGTGTTAAATTATTATTTTTGACTTTTGAAGTTAACTACGCGTGATAGCGATACGCAATAATATTAATGATGTGCTTGAGCTGTCTTTAATGCCTGAGTTTGAAGCAATATAGATCGGTCAATATTTGGTAATGACCTTTACATAGCACATAAGACAGGTTTGGTACATATTTTTGTAAGTTTTAATTTCGTTTTCAATTTTTATCACTTTAAATCTTCAAAGAATTTTTTTTATTGTTGAATCATGATAAATCGATTGGTGATGATGAATTTTAAATAATGTAATTTTTAAAGGCAATCAAATATAAAAAACATTGTACGAAAAAAATTGCTTGTTACACATTACTCAATTCTCCACAAAAATCTCCAAATTCATTAAAACACCAATTCGAATTTTATATTTTATATTTTATATTTTATATTTTATATTTTATATTTTATATTTTATATTTTATATTTTATGTTCATCATTAAAAATTTTCAGAGTAATGCTCTCTGATCTCAACAATTTGCATTGATGTACCTCTGTTTGTAGTCGCCTGTGTATATCAGACAAAAACTATCCCAAAATAGAACAGCATATGCATTGATTATAATATGACTCGCTTTTGCAATATTAATATTGACAGTTCATTCTCACACGAAATTTCTGCAGGTTGGTCTTCAGACTTAGTGTCGATTATTTCAATTGATTTGATAATTTAAATGATTGATTGAATATGGAAGCTTGATCAAATGTATGTATGGCACTATTATGGATGCAACTAAGATTGACTTTCTGTCCAGAATCATAGATATTCAGTTTTAGAGAACGAAATTGGGCAACAAAATACTCAAAATGTTGCCAGAATTGGCGATACCAGGGTCTCCCATACTGCATTGCTCTTTGTAGCAAGTCAAATCCCAATTCTGTAACAAGGTATCACGTTGGTTTGCATGTGCCATGATCCATGGATATATGTGAGATATCCACGCAGTTGATCTAGGTTTGAACTCTCATATCTGACAAGGTCAAACTGCATGATATTATTTACATTTATTCCTTCAAGTCCAATAATATATTGAGTTTTGTCAACCGGTGTATGTGACAGAATAAGGCGAAGGATAATAGGTTTCAAATAAGCAGGCTTGCTCAGCTATTCTGAATAATGATTTCCTTCCTTAGGGTTTCCCATTGCTATTTGTAAATTATCCATAATAATAATTACAATCAGACTGTTGAACTCTTGATTGCGATGTTTAGTAATTCTGTGCAATAATTGAAAAGGATTCGATTACTTCTCCCCAACGTAGCCGTTCCATTTTCAAATGATAAATTAAATGTAAGAACATCTTTAAGGAAAGTTTTTAAGCTAGTATTATTCGTAACACATTCATTTAGCATCTTTGGCAATTCTTGTGCAGTGCGATGTTTTCCTTCTCTATCTCCCGCCCGTTAGAATGAAATACACAGCGAGTCTCGATTTAACGGACCTCGATTTAGCGGATTTAGGGGTTTAATGGATAAATTTTCAAAACCAAATTTTTCTATATTAATATTCAATTTGATGGATATTTTTTAAAAACCCAATACCAATACCAATAAAATTCTCTCGATATTACGATAATGATGATTCTTGCCTTTTTTGGATAGCCTAATTTTATAATAATACAGTAATAAGCGTATAATAAATAAGCGTAATGATGTATTATTAATATTAATATTAAATATTAACAACATTTTTAATCGAACATATTGTTAACTATTTCTTGGAAATGACACTTATATATAATGTCATTTTTTTTTATTTCTTTAATGCTGACGAATTTATTATGAAATGACGGAACAAGAAATTGTAAACATAGTGTTGGGGCAACCTGAAGTTGAAGATAATGAGGGTGTTGATAAGACAAGTGAGTCAATTGTAACAAATACAGAAGCTATAAATGGTTGAAAATGCGCTTAAATATATACAACAAAAAGATTTAGAAGTTGATCCTCAAATAATTAAAAATATATTGAGGTTAAAAAGAGAAAATTTCTTATAGAAGCACCCAAGAAGCAAAACAATGTTGCATTGATGAATTTATGAGTTGACAATGATGATAAAAATGTTATTGTAATTGCAAATGTAAGGCTGTTAAACAAGCTACTTAAGTTGTTTTGCAAGTAAACCAAGATGAGTTTGAAATCGGCCAATAAATGTAAACAAGGGTAAACAACTAAAACAAATCTATCACAAGTGAATAAATAAAAGTAACTTTATAGTATTGAAAAAGGCCATATTTGTTTATTTATAGTTATCTGGTGTTATTAAGTGCACTTATAAATTCGTCTAGGGGGAACTCGTAAACTAATTAATTGACAAGAGTAGCCCAAAAGTTAACTCATAATTGTTAATTAACTGAAATAATACCTCGTAATATCACCATTTGACAAGAATCAAAAAATTGTAAAAGTTTATTTCAAAATATTGTTACAAGATAAGAAATAAAATAAGGATGAAATAAAAAGATAAATAAAATAAGATAATAAATTTATAGTGGAAATTAAATTACTATTGTTACTAGAACCTAATGTTAATTAATTAATTAATTAATATTGTTAGTAATGGATAGTAATTTCCAATTAATTAATAATGAAATTTTATTTACCTTTGTTAACATTCAGAAAAAAGAGTTACAATCAAGATTATTTAATGAACTATTACTTGTATAAATTTTCAAGCTTTTAAATTTAGCAATCTCTTCATCTAATATTCTACTTATATTATATGCATCTGGATGTGATTTGTGTACTTGTTGCGAAGCACCATTACCATGGTATTGATGATAACATTGATAATTTTAACGATAATAATGTTGATAATCTGGAAGAAGATAATGATTAATTTTCATTATTATGAACCGGCCTCTTCTCGGAACCAGTGGTTTCTCTTGGAACTTTCAAGCTTCCAATGTTTAAAAAAAAAATAATTCATGATCATTACAAGCTGGTGAACTTGATAAAAAAACAATATCAAAAATCAAATCATGGTTGTGAGCTCTATCATCAAATGGTGGATGACCTGCAAATATTTCCCATATTAACATCCCAACACTATAGATATCAGATTCCTTTGTGTTTTTTGTATTAA